AAATAGAAAAATATAATTTAATTTCATACCCAATGGTTTATTAGGTTTTAAAATTATAGATAAATAAATAATTTATAAAAAATAAAATTAATTAAAAAGGTAAGTCAAATAATAATTATTTTAAAATTATAAATAAAATAAAAAAATATAATTTAATTTCATACGTAATAAACAAATTTTTAAAAGTTTATTAGGTTTAAAATTATGGATAAATAAATAATTTATAAAAAATTAAATTACAATATCTTTTTTTTAATTTAATCATAATATTAAATTTATATGAGTTATACGTAATAATTTTCCGTCAAAATTAAAAAAATAAAAATAAAATAAAATCTTAACAATTTTTGTGGATCTCACTTTTTAAACTCTAATATACAGTAGTATCAATTTTTGATTTTTGTTAGTACAGGTAAACTTGTTATTGTGAATAGAGAACGTGTTATAATTAGTGAGATTAGGCCTCTTTCATTGTTGGTGGGTTGGATGCATTTAATCTAGCATTTGATTAGGCCTCATTTGATAGTTGAACCAGTTGCCTCTTAGTTTATCATCAAATTTGAGCTCGAACCTCCTATTGGGATGTCAAATGTTGACGTCGACAACTGTTGATAGATTTGAGTTCAATCCTATTTGCAGTAGCTCCCATTACATGCGATACTAGAGCGGGATCTTTAGAATTCTCAATTCCCATTGTTTTTGGTTGACCAATTACTCGAACATTGACCAAAATTCATTAAAAATTGTTGGAATTCTTCATCAATTGACCCAATATTAGTAGGGTTGTCTTCAAGTAATTCTTGATTAAATGACCTAGCATCAATTGACCCAATATTAGTAGCGTTGTTTACAACCCGATGATTCTCCTCTTGAAAACCAATAAATATAGAATTTTAAAAAGTTTTAAACAAACTCGAACACTTCAAAAATAATATAACATAAAATTTAAAGATTTATTAAACACATTTTTTTCAAATTCAAACCTGTTGGGCGCCATGAGGATTACTACATAATCGACAAGAACATGATTCAGTACAAGAAAGTCCTTTCTGCAAATCATAGAAACAGATTAATACAAAAGTGTTAAAAAAAAAAACGTATTATTCTTCAAGCAATGTTATGAAAATGAACCTGAAAGCATTCACAGTATCTTTTTCGGCACATTGACTGCTTGCACTTGCATCCTCTTACTTCTGAAGATAAATTCTCCTCATTCTCATCTACCTGAACGGATTCAAACCCCTAATTATTTTCAAAATACAACCACACCCGACACCACTCTTTTCCTCATTCTTATTATAATCACTCACTTGTTTTAGATTGAAAGCTGATGGATTTTTGTTTAGAATATTTTGTTTGACAATCTCGACAGTGTCCTCATATAAAGGTAAGTTGGAGCAATCTGTGCAGCCACAATCATTCTTGCAATAAAACCCGGTTGAAAAACATTCGCAATATCTGCATGAACATGGAGTTAAACATCAAATCAAAAAGAGTATCAAAATTATGGGTTGGTAACAAAATTATGTGTTCTTGGTTTTAAAGTGTCACTTACAATTTTAGACACTCTGATTTCTTGCAATTGCAACTTCGGCTAGATCTGCTCTCATTGTCCTCCCTTATTTAATAATAAATATATAAGAAATTACTCTTTATCCATAAACTCATTAAGTTAAAAAAAAAAAAGTTCACCTCTTTCTTTTGATGTTAGAATTATCGTTCATCTGGTTCATATAAATGTCTGGACAATTATCGTTCATGTCATTCATACAAATGTCTGGAAGCACCTGCCCTTACATAAAATACATACACATTATAAAAATAATTTAATTTTATATTTATATATAGATAAGGTAATTATTTTTTACCACGCTAGGAATTTCATTTTGATTGAGATTGATGTTTTGATCTCCACCATTAAAATTGTTTATCTCTATGCCAGTATTTTCTGACACGATATTGGTTTCGGTACAAATGTTATCAATCTCGTTCAGATGGACGACGCTGGTACAAATGTTATCAATCTCGTTTAGTTGCACGACGCTTTGGTTGTAATCCATTGCAATATTGTCTATATTAGTTCTAAAATAACCAAAATTGATGTTACGTTAATCAAAATAAAATAAAATTTAATACACGGAATACAAAAAAAAATATATTTAATAGAAGTTGTCGAGAAGACGAACCCTAGGTCTTCAATGGATGGAAGACTTTTGAAGATAGAATCCAAATCCAAATCCTGCCATTATAACCAAAAAAAATTGTAACAAAAATAATTTAACAATGAATAATTAAATAAATAAGAACATAAACCAAAATACCTTATAAATATCAGAAGGAGAAGATGGAATGGAAGACATGAGTGAAAATTAATTTGAGAGGAAATTTTGATGCGTTAATTAGTGATGAGTGAAAAATTATGACTTTCTTTATAATTTATAGAAATAATTCCTAATTTATTTAGGATTATTATTATTAAGATTATTTATTTATTTATTTTGTAATAAATATTAAAAAAATATTAAAAAAATCTAATTTTAAAATATTTTAAAAAAATCGTATTTTTTTAAAATAAAATATATTAAAAAAGGGAAATTTAATTTGAGAGGAAAATTTAATTGGTTAATATATTGAAATAAGCTTAATTTTATGACTTTGTTTACTATTTATAAAAATAATTCCTAATAGAAGATCTACCAAAATTATTTAAAAAAGATTTAATTTTGAAATATTTAAAAAAAGATCTAATTTTGAATATTTAAAAAACATCTAACTTTATAATATTTATTAAAAAAATCATATTTTGTTTAAGAAAATATATTTAAAAAAAACGAGTTAATGACTTTCTTTACCATTTATAAAAATAATTCCTAAAATTTTTTCATATAATTCCTAATTTATTATTATTATTATTATTATCTTCTCAAGATTTTTCATTTAATTTAAAATAATTTTGAAATATTTATAAAAAAATCGTTTTTTTTAAAAAAAATATATATTAAAAAAAAAAAAAAAAAAACAAAACCTAAAACGTTGTAAATGGCTATCACCAAAACAAGACAGAATACCAAGAGAGGAACGAGTTAAATACATGGGGGCTTTGTGCCCTTACTGGCATGATGCCAACCAAAGCCAAAACCTGTGTTCCAGATTACGTTCAAGCTCTCAATACGTCGTGATTACTAGTCATTGTTGGGATAGGAAATCCTTATCTACCTACAATCTACAATGTTGTTAGAATCCCAACTGGTGTTGCTCGCAGAGCATGTATCAGTCAGTTGCTCTTATTGGGAAGGGTCTATTTTTTTTTATTCCATAGCTAATAGTTATAAGAAAAAAATAGCTTAGTAAATTCATACACATAGTAACTCCATAATCGCTAATCACTTGTGATGTAATATTCTAAACGAGGAAAAAAATAATAATAATAACAGTTGTAGTCACATTTATTAGGGAATATAAAAAAAAAAAAGGTTTAAATGATTGAACACAAACCATCCATGGAAGATGGGTTTAACCATATCTCTTTCTTCATACTGGGTGACTGAGAACTTATTCAGTCTTCTGATTGGCTGCAATATCATTGAGCTTTTCCTTCAATTCTCCAGTCTACACACGAATAAGAACAATGTCAACAGGGGGCACCTTGAAAATAATGTTGAGTCATGTTTTCTGGGAAAAAAATGGTGATAATAAACCCAGAAATCCTTGAACGATCCTAAGAGAAGTGAACTGTGTAGGTTGTAAATTGGATACCTGATGCAGATTGAGTATGATATCAGATCCTCCAATAAACTCTCCTTTGATGAAAATCTGGGGAAATGTTGGCCAGTTGCTACATACAAAAATTTCTCATATCACAACATATTCATAAGCATTTTATTTTCTTCGGCCAACAGTATCACGAGTTTATATTCGCCCGTAATTTGTTTGGAAATGTTTTCCAAGTAGCAGATATCATCATACAAACTGTAATTGATTTAATAAGTCATTCGCAGTTTAGTAGATCATATTTACCTATGCATTGACTTAATCCTTTTCAAATCTTCAAATCAAATATTACGCAGGCATGACTTAATCTTTTTCAAATCAACTATTTCGATAGAAAGTCTGGTATTGAAGGGTGCATACCTAAAGGATTTCACAGCATTTTTAAGCTCGGCATCTTCCAAGATATTTCTAGCACTCAAAGGTACGTCTGCAATACTTAAAACATGTGAGAATCACGGAAAAAGATGACAAGCAACAGAATGGGGTTGCAAGGATTTATATCCCGTGATGGACACGGAACAAACATTCAACTATATTATTAGAAAATTCAATACAGATTCAACTATATTATTAGAAAATTCAATACAGATTCAACTATATTATTAGAAAATTCAATACAGATTCAACTATATTATTGTAGCAGCAAGGAGCAGAAAACCGAAGACCATACAAACAAAATTCATGTGATTATAAAGAAGCAAGATAATGGTATACATAAGCGATCACAGTGCCAGTAATTTGAAGTATTGAGACCATATAGTGATAATCTACTCATTACACACATTACAAACAAAGAAAACAGATACAATATTGGCTCAAAACATAGGATTATTAGACCATCAATTTCCGTTCCAGGAGAACAAATAGGTACGTCGCAAAATAAGCTTAACCAAGAGAGAACAGACTCGTTAAACCAAACACACGCACACACAATGAGCACTTACTATATAAATTCAACACTCTAACAGCAAGAGAGCTAAATCCACATTGAGGAGCATCCGGCACCCCTTTCATATAAATCATCACAGGATTTTGCTGTACATCCTAATAAAATACAGAACGAAATTTAGTACTCGTTTTTAAATTCCTCACATCCAACTCACACCATTAAACATATAACTTTTCTAATTTTTGTCCCTTTTGTGTATTTCATTTAATCATGAAATTTTCTCTTATCAAAAAAGAAAAAGGGGAAAGCACATAGTTTCTAATGTGCTTCCTAGATAAATGTTGCCAGTTCTTTCGCAAAAGCATACATACCAGTTCAACAACATCCCTCAAAGAAAGGCTAGAATTCTCAAGTTTATTAGTAGGTTTGAAATCATCATGAGTATCAGGATCATTAGGTACAGTCGTTGAGTATCTCATTCCATGCTGGTAATTAAACCCAGGCACCACCTATCAACAGTAAAAACGAGGCACCATAATATATCATAGTAAGCTTTGTCGGTCAACTTTTATAATTTGTATGTTGTCTTAGAACTCAAGGATGTACATCAAAATTAAGTCTAAAGTTCTTATATATCATGTTCAAGTAAGGTCATGATGATTTGTATGTCCTCACTACCATATAATTTCACACTAGGGCAGTCATCAAGTTTTTTAAAAAAAATTTAGCGCAAATATCAAATTGTCCTAATTTGGAGGTTATATCAATTGAAACCCTAAACTAATAATTGTATCAACTTAAACACTAAATTTTTATAAGTGAATCAATTTAGGCTCTCCTTAGAATTCCATTTTAAAACTATAAATGCCTAACTTTTACACGTGCATAAGACTTCTTGAAATGCAAGATTAATGTAAATTAGATAAAAATGCAAGAATCAAGTAGGTAGTAGCAGTTTTTCATAACAACGAGAAGGCTGGCACATCGTCCGGTGTCTTGCTCTGATACCATTTGTAACATCCCAAGTACACCGCTAGCAGACATTGACCTCTATGGGTTTTACTTTTCGGGCTTCCCTTCAAGGCTTTAAAAGCCGTCTGCTAGGGGAAGGTTTCCACACCCTTATAAAGGGTGTTTTGTTCTCCTCCCCAACCAATGGGGAAACTTTAAAGACAACAGAACTAATGTGGCCATAATAAAGAAAACGACATTTATAATCTAACCAAATGAGATAAAATGAAGTTGTGATCAAGAGTAATAGAAAATACTATGACAAAATAGGCATTATACTTAAGCATACATCTCTAAACCCCAGAAAAATAGATAGCCTACAGATCTCTTTCTTCAAAGTCAGGATAGATGTGTGAGATAAAGGGAAGATAAGGATACTTGAACATGGTTCCAAGCTTTTCAAATGGCACAAAAATGAGAAATAAAAATCTCCACAAACTCATGCCTATGATCAACTAAACAATTCAAAAGCTAAAACCTACGAAACAGGACAATAGAACTCAGAGTATAATATATGATAATGTGATTTCCTCAAACCGTACTATTCTGTTAGTGCGAGTAGCTGGAAGACCTGCCAAGCCTTTGAAGAGCAAGCTTGATAATGACTTCGCCATTGTTCCAATTATAATACTCTGTTAAACGAGCAATGTCCAAGTAGATTATCTGAAGTAGACAACAAATTCAAGACTCAGCAAATTGGAGTCAAACAGTAACATATATCAATGTACAATGACAAAATGAAAAAAAAAATGAGGAATGAATTCCTTGAGAAAAACAAATTTTTTTAGGCTTTAGCATCATCATATAGAAGGAATTACAAGAGGACAGCCAACTCAAAAAGAAAAAAACAAGTTTAGTGATACAATTATTCGAAACCCAATAAATAGAAACGGATATGAATTAATCGCACAAATTATTAAAGGTTAATCCAATGACACAGATCCAGAAAAACTTAGAATAGCACTACCAGAAACCAGATACAGCTGAATCAACACACTGCTAGGTCGAGAAATGCAGAAATTGAGAGAGTAAAGGAAAGAAGATAAAAATAAACCGGTATGTCGCTGTGAGCCGAAAGAAGAGAAAAAACTCACCGTCGATGAAATTTTCGCCGGAAATAGCTCGGCGGTTCCGATGGATAGTTGGGGATTTTCGCCGGAAACGTGGAAGACAAAGAGATACAGGCGGTTCCGATGGATGGTTGGGGCTTAGCAAAAGGGTTTAGTTTCATACCTTTATACATTAATTGTTTATTTTTTTCTTGGGAAATTTTACAATCACACGCATCTCTTCCTATCAAATTACTGTACGCCGCTTTTATCCGACCAATCAAATAAAGAAATGCGTTTACCACAAGTTTGACCACAAATTTTGTATATAACTTTTGGAGGTATGAGAGTAATAATTTAGTATCTACACATCATAAACATTTAGTCTTTATATTTTATTTAGTTATTATATAGTCTGGTGTAACAATTTAGTTTGTATACGCTATAAACTACAAAAATAATATATATATATATATATATATATATATATATAATTTAGTTTGTATACGCTATAAACTACAAAAATAATATATATATATATATATATATATATATATATAATATGGTCTAATTTAAATTATTCTTGTATTTAATTTTTATTTTTTAAATCATTTATTTACCATTTGTATACTATAAATAAAACTTCTCTTTAATTNATTTAGTTTGTATACGCTATAAACTACAAAAATAATATATATATATATATATATATATATATATATATAATATGGTCTAATTTAAATTATTCTTGTATTTAATTTTTATTTTTTAAATCATTTATTTACCATTTGTATACTATAAATAAAACTTCTCTTTAATATTTAATTTTTATTTTTTAAATCATTTATTTACCATTTGTATACTATAAATAAAACTTCTCTTTAATTCTTATCTGTGTTTTAAAGTTTTGAGAGTAACTCGAAACCTTAAATGGTGATATCCCACATTGATTGAAGAGGTGGAAACTTTTTCCCAGCATATTTGAAAGGATGCGGAAATCTTTTCCATGCGTTTTAAAGATTAATATTTGTGAGTGGTGTCCTAGTTCTTACCGTTTTAATTTTAACTACTTAAATTTTTTTAATATTTAACGCTAAATTTTTATATTAATAATCAACTAAATTAATTAAATACGGTCTTAAAATGCTTTTAAAATTAAAAAACACATTATAAAAATTATTAATATTTTAATTAAAAAACGTTTTGAACTTTAAAAAAAATTAAACACATTATAAAAACTATTAATATTTTATTAAAAAATATTTTGAATTTTAAAAAAAAATTTAAAATACATTTTAACACTTGAGAAGTTAAAAAAAAAAATTATTATTATTAATAACATGTTTAAAAAATATTTATAAACTTTTAAGAATAATATTTTTTTTTCATATAGGTGTTAGGTGGTAATAAATTTTTTGAATTTTATTTTATAAAGATTAAATGCGTCTATGGTTAGAATTTCATGAATATATTTTTTAAAAAATATAATATAAACGAAATAATAATCATTTATATTCAAAACTAACAAAAAAAAAAAAAAAAAAAAAAAAAAAAAAAAAAAAAANGTTTAAAAATTTAAAAATATTACCGAAATTATTTAGATTTTTTTATTTTTTTAAAAGAAAATAATATTTTTATTAATTTACCAATTCCAAAGAATAAATGGTCTTATTTTTCCTAAAATACAACTATTTATATATATTTTTTTTACATATAAGAATATTTAGAAAAGGATACGTGTACAAATCGCATAGTCATCAATCAGATATCATCAATTATATGCACGATCGTATAGTATTGCTGCTCGATCTGCTGCACAAGGTCCGGATCATCGGCAGTCATTTGTTCCAACGGAATCTCTCTTTTCCTTCATTCATTTTCTACAGAGTGTTTTGGAATTCATAGAAACGGTGATCGAAAAATGTCTCTGACGGGCGTTAAGATGTCCGAAGATGTTTGGTTTACTTGCCTCACTCATGCATTGTCCACGGAGACTGAAGAAATCATGGGACTTCTCCTTGGCGATATTGAGGTCACTCTCTAGATTTCCACTCTGCAATTTACTATCCCCTATTTTAAAGGTTTTCCGAGTTCGTTTGAGCCCATTCTCCTTCATTTTGTATAATCTGCTATGGCTTTTGCTTTAATTTGGTTTTCTTGGTGTATATTTGTTGGCTTGGTTGCTTGTCTTGGTTGTTTATTTGAACATAGGTTTGATTGGTTGCTTTATGTTGGTTTGCTTATTTTCTATTGTTTTTCTGCTCCTTCGGCTCAGTTAATTGATTCCTTGGTCATTTTTTAAAATTCAGGGTGAGGAATGGTATTTGTGGTGCTACCTGTAGAGTCTTCCGACTCCAAAATGATGTTTGTTAGAAATGGACTTGGTTTCTTTTTCACAAGAGTTCGTGTGAATTTGTTACGTTAAGCACTGTTCTATCTCTTGTTAGACAGTCTATATGAATTATGGTTCATTGGCTAACACAGTATGGAGATATTCATTTTACAATTTCTCTCTAGAGTTTGAGAATTTTTGTTTTTTTGTTTTTTCGTTTTTTCATGGCTGATTCTTTATGCTTTAAGCCATTTTCATGCCTTTTCTTTCAGGGTGGTACGTTTTTCTTTTTAGAAGGTAGTTTTTATTTCGATTCTGCGTCTTCCTGACCACGAAATTTTGCAGCATTCAGAAAATGGTAGTGTAACTGCACTAATTTGGGGAGCATCGCCTCAGACACGGTCTGACAGAAGGAAGGACCGCGTGGAGACTCATCCTGAACAATTGGCTGCTGCATCTGCCCAGGCTGAGATATCCTTCGCTTCTTTTATCTTTATGAAATTCTTCATCTTCTAGACATTGTCCTATTCTTCTCAGTTCATGTTGATGCATCCTCTGTAGGGCATCTTCTTTTACTTTATCATTTAAATCCATTATTTGTCAATGGTCTTGACAAATGAAAATAGTTATACTATGAGCCCTAGGGAGTGGCCTCATTGGTTTAGGCCTGCGGTCTCTGAGTAACACCTATCTAAAGATCATCTATTCAAATTTTCGGACGAGTTTAATAAAGAAAACCTTTGATGTCTCTAGAGTCTAGGCCACCTTAGGGTGGCTACAAACTTTGAGAAAAACAATTACTATGATGAAGAATGTTTTTGTATGGTATGTGTTTAAATTATTGGGGATCTATCAAAGTGGAAAATAGGAAAGAAAAAAGTTCTATTGAAAAATCAGTTTCCTAGTTTAATATAGTTTTTTTATTGGTTATAAGAGGAATAGAGGAGGTTGTTCTATGGGGACTTGTTAAATTTTATGAGTGATCGAATTTCATTATGTTCTCTACTTTTGAGAGTAGAAAATGGTAGAAACTGATTTTTAATACCAGTGCTAGCTTTGTGAAGCAGTTTAACGTAAGTAGGTTAACTATGCAAATTTCTGTAGGACTTTCGAAGATGAGTAGTTTGTTACTTGTTTTTTTTTTCAAAAAAATAAAAATAAAAACCTGAATGAATCTTTTGGTTATTTGTTCTTCCACTAGTGATTAAATCTATATGAAGTTATTTTTATTTTTTTCAATATCGTTATATACTTAATTTTATAAAACAGAATGACATCAATGACTGGGAGAACAACAAGAGTTATTGGGTGGTACCATTCACATCCTCATATTACAGTGCTTCCTTCACATGTTGGTTAGTATTGACTTGTCTATGATGTCTAATTGTAACCCATCTTCGATGAGTTGGTTTTCCATCTCCATCTGCTTTCCCCTATGTTTCAGGCATTCTTTTGGAGTTAGGATGCCCAGAGTAGAACACTGAAAATTTTGTTTTGAACTTGTTTGTTCTGATGGTTGTAATAATTAAAAAAGTAGACCTGAAAATTTCGTTAGTGCAGTTTCTTTTTCCTCTTCATATTCCTTCTGAAAACTAACATTTCATAAGAGTTGGCAGATATCTCTATGTTATATGAGATGATAATCGACCTTTCATGTCAGAGTTTGGGTCCATTGCCCCCAATCTTGTACATTATGTCTTTGCTACAACTTTGGCTTAGGAGTTTCCTTAATTTTATGTATTAGAAGTTGTTTTTTTTTTTTTTTTTTTTTCTTCTCAATCAAGNTTTTTTTTTTTTTTTTTGCTCTTCTCAATCAAGGAAAAGAAATTTTCAATCATGAAAATCTTACTTGCAGATGTTCGAACTCAGGGGACATATCAGCTCCTTGATTCTGGGTTTATTGGGCTGATATTTTCCTGCTTTAGTGAAGATGCAAATAAGGTTTGAATAGTTGTATTGCTTTGGAGAATTATCTTTTGCATGTTTGCTAAACATATTTAGTTGGGAAATATCAGGTTGGAAGAATTCAAGTTATTGCTTTTCAGTCCTCGGATGGGAAGCAAAATCACCAATCAAGACCTATTTCTTTGTCTCCTGTATATCGGAATTCAGTGATTGATGTTGAATCTTCATTGAGTTCCTCTGATAACTTATCAGCAAATGTTGGCTATGGACCAAGGGAGAGTCCTGAACAGGATACTGGTGATTCCATGATTGCTGGAACTCTTAAGGTACAAGTACAACATATATTCATTACGAAGATACCTGAATCTGGATGTTGTCATTCATATAGCCTGCTTAAGTCGAATGATGAGCAGAAGGCTTTGCCAAAGCTTCAATTTTCTGTCACACATGATATTGTAGATAGCATTGTTCGTTTATGGGGAAACACATTTGACTCTTAAGACATTTTGAAAACTTTAATTGGGTACTTGATGAGTTGTGCCCTGGTTTAGAGTTCGAAAACTTACACAGAATAACAATAACTTACTATACTCTTGAGTCTCATATTCAGGTACGAACGTGGTTGAATTCTCCCTTTCTATCTTTTCTCTGCTCTGATTGGGGCTAAAGCTGGACATCCCAGAATTTTGTATTCACGTCTGTAGATAAATCTCTTCAATCAATCTCTACCGATTCATTTTCATGCCAATTGGTAAACTAAATCTGCAACTGTGTTTTGCTAAAACTTTTGTTTTACACTCTTGGATCACGGATGAGATGCTGTTGCAAATAATATAGCGTACTCATGTTCTGTGAATAAGATTTAACTCCTTCAAGATAGTACAGAAGCTTCCAATTACCATGCACCTTGTTGTATCTGGAAAACGTTGGTCCAACTCTACGAAAAAAAAAGGGATGATATCACCATTTTAATGTGACATTTTTTAGTTGAATGTTTCTCTGCCATCACATGAAGTAATTGTCTACTGATTAATTGAAGTTACTTGGTTACTGTTTGTCATCAAAGGAGACATCTAAACAAGTTCTCCACAGATATTATATAACAATTCGGTTCTGCGAGTTTAATTTTGTTAAAACTTTTGAAGTGCTGCGCAGTGAACAATTCCCCATGATTGGTGTGTATGACTTGTTTGACTTTGTCTACAGGGAACTGGACGATCTTCGGAGTTGGGGTATTTCTTTGCTAATGCCGACACCAACTATCAAGGAAAAGAGAAAATCGGAGGAAGCTATCTTACTAAAAATGCAAACAGCGGAATTACTGATATCGATCCAATGGACTTGTCTGAGAGTATGCAAGAAGCAATGCACCGCTCAAATATTGAAATGAGGTATGGGTTATGAAGTGCAGATTTCTTGGTGGTTGCTTGTCATACTGTTATCTAAATAATGGTTTTATCTTGTAATGATTTCTAAACTTCGTTAAGTTATGTAGCTGCATTAATAGGGAGTCCGATGTAGAAATTGTCTTTGTTATTTTGCTCTTCTTTACTGAAGAATAGTTCTTTATCGTCATTTTTTTTCTAGAGCTGGCAGACTCTGACTATGAAGTCTAAATCTTGTGAAATTGTTTTCTTTTGCTGCCAGTGCTGCCGCATTCTCAAGGAAGGAGATTCCTCTTCATGTTATGCCAACTGCCTCGCTCATAAAGCTTGATTCACCATTAATGTCTTTTACTGATTTACAGCAGGTTCTGTTTGAAGAGGAGAGATCAGCTTATAACCAAGCCGTCTCGTATAATATGAAGTAAATGGTTCTCTCTTTAGTTAACCCATTGGAGCATAGTTTCCTAATTTATACAAAATGGTTCTGTAATCTATTTGTTATTGACTCTATTCATTGCTTTTTCTTTCCCATAGGGATGGGAAAGTGCATCCGCTGACATTCATACATCACACATCAACATATCAGGCTTCAATGTGCAAGTTGATTGAATATTGGTTAGGTTCACATGCTGCCTCAACCATTAATTTGGGATCTTTTGTTCTCCGTTTGCCTAAAAATGCCCATTTGATTGGAATTGTTCTTACTTCCCTTTTCATTGCTTGCAGTGTTAGTCCTGTCATAAGTGCGCTTCAGGACCGCGTAAAAGAGAATGAAATTCGGGTATGAATTGATTCCAAAAACTCCCATCTGCATAGATAGATCCCTCGGATTTTATGACATGGACTCAAAGGGGACATTTTCTGCGCATTAATTTTTTGATCTATTTGCTCCGATGAATTCAAAATGTTACTTCATGATTTGACAAAAGAGTATTAGATAGTTCTAATATGTTCTTGAAGGCTGATGATACTTGTTTAAAACAGTTAGCTTTGCTGGCTGAGGAAGCCAGGAATTTGGAAGTTGAGGCTGCAAAAGCAAACGAGTCAGTCCCAGGATCACCTCACCAAGTTCATGGATCTCGAGCAAGTGCTTCGACAACACCTAGGGACTTATATCCTTCAACTGCATCTGTTGGCGCACAAAGTGCAGGAAGCTCTAGTCACCAGAGTAGAAAGGGGTTGTGATGATTCTAGCACCAACAACTTGTTTTCCGAATTCCCGAAAGCCCGCATTCGGGTGCTTTTGTGTGCATAAAAACGATCCAAAGTATAGAAGAGAGGTCAAATGGCATTCATTCAAGGTACCAACATTTCATCTTCTTGATGTTAGATACTGTCTAAAAATTGGTTTTGATTGGGTAGTAGAAGCATGCTGTTGAATCCACTTATTTGAGTATGGATAAGTTGCAAATTAACAGCAATCTAGATGTGTATGCTGTCTGATGACCAAAATGAAGTTTCAGCAGCAATGCAAGAAAATTCATGAAAGTGGTCTCTTTTTTTGCTTTCCCTATAGTGTAAAGAATAGGGATTAAATGTGTATCACAATGAACACGTAGTTTTTTGAAGATGAAAGTCAGAAAAGAAGGAAGGGTTTTTGGATGATTAGCCATGTGAGATAAAAACAATGGAAGATGAAAAGGAAAAGAACACAACTGTAAAGTAAAAGAAATAAGGAAGACTTTAAGATAAAGGAGGTAAAGAAAAGATGAAAATTTTAGTGTCATAGGTTTGTTTGGAAAAGCGGCTAAGATTCCGAAAGATGAAAGGTCTTTTAACTACATATGTTATTATTCTCTCTCTGTCTCACTCTTATGGATTGGGTACCTCTGATGGATGTATTTAATAGGTAGATATAGACGTAGTAGCGGCCAATAACCTGAGAGTAGAGAAGAGGGTTAGAAAAGAAAGGAAGGGAGAGGGAGAGAGAGATTATGGAGGATATATAAATAGTGAGTTGGTGGTGGTGATGCATGGAAGTGATTCCCAAGGAGAATCGAATCACCCTCACTTTCCTTTTTCTCTTTCTCTTCTTTACAGTTTTTGGTCCTCTCTCACCCTCTTCCCCTTTACCCTTCCCCAAGAGAATGGATGCCACTTCTCCCTCTCTCTCCCACCCTCACAGTGTTCCTCTTTTGGTGTGTGAGAGAGAGAGAGAGAGAGAGAGAGAGCCATTTTATGGATGTGGGTGAAGAGGGAAAGAGATTTGATGGGTGTGGGTGAAAAAGAGAGAATACCATAGCTGTGGGTTAAGAAAGAACTAGGAAGAGAGGGAGAGAGATAGAGAGAGAGATGTGGGTGAAGAGAAAAAAGAAAAAGAAGAGAGAAAAGATGGTCAAAATGAAACATCCAAGACTTGGTTATTTATCACAACCCTTTATTGAAACTCACATTTTTCCTTTTGAATTTTAATTAAATCCTTTCCCCTTTTTTCCTCTTTTGAATTTCACTGTTTCCCCCCCCTAATTTCTCTCTAATTAACCTTACTCCACTCTAACATTTATGTACTAAATGTTATACATATATCTTAAGTTCTACTGTAATTATATAGAAAAGACGAAATGTATCTTAGTTTATCAATTTAAGTCTTCCATCTAATAATTTATTGTTGATATGCTTTATATAAAATTTGAGAGGCCATATGAGAATCATGTATGATTTAGGAATGAAGAATTTTGAATATTTGAAAAGGCTTCGACATTGTTCACTTTTTAAACATATTAGCTAAATAAATGTACATTAGGGGAGAATATTCAAATTTTCCAAAGTTTGTGAGGGGAAAAAAAAAATGGTTTGGTTTTATAAAAGAATAAAAATTGTGATTGAAATAAAACATATTGTTCATTACATTACATTGGAATATTTGTAACATTATATTTTAATATTGGTCATTGAATTTTCACCTATTTAATTTTTTCAAAATATCAAGTAAACATGTAGTAAAAGAGATTTATGAATAAATTACAATCACTAAACTAAAACATTCGAACCCAAAACCCTATGGAATTGATAGTAGAACTAGTTGAATATATGTAGAAGAAAACAGATATAAATAAAAAGAAAAGAAAGGGAGTAGGAATAAGCATAATGTAAGGCCAACTCAAATTATCCAACCAAATCATAAAATATTAGATTGAGTTAAATTTCCTTCAATGGGAAATTGAAAAATTCAGATCGATCCAGGGTTTTACATTATTTTGATAAGGGTAAGGTACTAAAAAAATTGAAAATAGTAACTAAATTTAGTAGTTCATTGAGTTGAGTTGAACATTATTTAGAGTTACCAACTCAACTAATCAAAAATTTGAAACCATCTAATTAAAAATTTGAGACAATCTAAATAAAATTTTCAACCCAGCCCGATTATCTTCTTGATGAAAGAAAAAAAAAAAAAAAAAAGTGAGTTTTTGAGTGGGATTTGGGTGTATATAAACCTGAGTTCCCTTGCCTTGTTTAGGTATTCCATCCCCACTCTTGTTGTTTGTTTAAATCAGCCATTTTTGTTGTTCTCAAGGTTTGTGCTCCATCTTTTTTGTTCTCTCTCTACTCTGTGTTCCATTTCTTATTTTCCGGTATCTTAATATAAAATTTGCAGAGACAGAAGATGAACAGACCCGGAGACTGGAACTGCACCTCCTGCCACCACTTGAACTTCCAGAGGAGGGACATCTGCCAGCGCTGCGGCGATCCCAAGGCCGGCGGCGGCGGAAGAGCTGGGTCTGGATTCGGGTTCGGCGGGTCGGACGTGAGGCCCGGGGACTGGTACTGCAGCTTAGGGAACTGTGGAGCCCACAATTTCGCAAGCCGGTCAAGCTGCTTCAAATGTGGGGCCTTCAAAGACGACATGTCGGCCTTCGACTTCGATCTTCCTCGTCCAACTCCTCGTGGGATATCCCCTTTTGGTTTCCCCACTCCCGCCCGTTCCCCTGCCTCCGCTTGGAAGTCCGGTGACTGGATTTGTGCCAGGTATTTATTTCTTTTTTATTTTTCAAATATGTTTTTAAATTATTTTCAATTTTAAATCCATGATTTTAATTTTTACCGGGTGAAATTACAGGTCGGGATGCAACGAACATAACTTTGCAAGTAGGATGGAGTGCTTCAGATGCAATGCTCCAAGAGACTCGTACTAACAAACCTAGCCATGTTCGAGTCCACGTGTAAGTAAAAAGGAATTGGAATTGTTGGGTGTATCACAATGATATAATTAACATCTTAATTTGGGTCCATGTGTTTGTCTGCAGGGTTTAGCGTTCCAAGTGCGAGAGAATTTGAAAGAGACTTCATTCATAAACTGCACTACCTTTGTTTCTTTTTTTGTCTCTTTGATTTTGATTTTGATTTTGTAGCCTTTTTTTTTTTCTAATTATTGTTAATTTCTGTGATGAAAATTTGAGATATTCTCCAAAAATCAATGTTTCTTATTATATCTCTTAATCCATTCATCTTTAATTATATATTATATTTTAATTGTTTTTTTTTCTTTTTATATCATATTTTGTAATAATTTGTCCAACTAATTAAATTAGCTGCTTTACATAAAGGTAGCCCTTTTCATTTGTTGGGTCCCAAACACTATTCTTTTACCAACCATTTTTTTAAACCCTTTCTTTTAAAGCTTTTCATGGATTCGTTTGGATTCAGTTCAATTCGAACCATCTGAATAGGGTTTATAACCCAATCGACTTAGTTATTTTCGAGTTGGATTGTCTGGTTATTTTTTTATTTATAATTATTTTTTAAAAAAGCTTACTTATCCATCCTACATGTTGACCGACCAAAAAAATGTCAATCCACCCATAGAACATAATTTTCAATTTTCTAAAAGTTCAACCCCACCCAACCAGAAATATAAATATTTTTCAATTTTTTTAGATGTTTAAATTTTTATACTCTACCTAGTAAAAAAACGAAAAAAATAAACGATGCATTTAATATGAATTTTTAAAATAAATTACAAATTTGATCCCTATCATTTAGAGAAATTAAAAAAAAAAAAAAAAAATGCTCAAACCTACTCCTAACAGATATTTTCCACTTTGACTTAGTTATGTATCATAGTCAATCTCACAATTTTAAAATGTATTTCATTCGAGGTTTCCATAATATTTCATTCGCTTCTCCAACCGATGTGAGATCTCACAATCCACCTTCTTTGAAGGCTAGCATCCTCGCTAACACATCGTCCATTTGTAACAACCCAAACCCACCGCTAGCATATATTATTCGCTTTTGCCTGTTACGTATCGCCGTTAACCTTATAGTTTTAATACGCGTCTACCAGGAAAAGACTTCCATATTTTTATAAAGAACATTTGGCTTCTCCAAGCGACGTGAGATCTCATAATCCTCGTTTACTTTCACAATAATTTAAAAAATAATCAAACTTTTAAATTTATTTTTATTGAAACAGCAGCCTCAAACATGAACAATATAAAGTTTACCTGGGATATACAATTAAAATAAGGTACACACGAATATAGCGTAGTGGATGAAACAAAGTTTGGAGCTCCTGAATTCAACCGTGTGGAAGGAACGCAGGAGCAAACCCAATGGACTAAACCAGTTCAATGATTCAGCAACCCCATGCTTCGCCTACAAACAGCAACCATCATGTGAGTAGAGCTCATATTTGGTATGTAGATTTGTTTATCTCGATATGTAACTGTGTTAAATTTTACCCACAAAACACAGACCAACCTAACATGGATTATACAAACTTTAGTTTTGTAACTCATTTTTCTGCAGAACCCAACCACAGGTTACACCAGCTTAACACTTTCCAATCCTATATTAATTAGAATCACAAGGCAAACATCCTCTAAAAGACTAGCTATGTAGCTTCTTAGAAGAAAAAAACGACCCAGGATCGGAAGTTGTGTCGCTTTTTTTACCTCACGGCATTAGACTGTATCCATCTAGTAAAATGTTGCTATAAACACAGCATAGTGCATATGATATTGCTCAGAAATAACACAAAACAAAAATCAAAGATGATCAACATTAAACCATCATAGATTGGCCTAATGGTCTCAGGTATAACAAATAGCTTTTTGAAGGAATGGATTCAATTCATGGTGGACCTACCTAGGATATTTTGCTTTACAAATTTCCTTAGCACTTAAATATTGTAGGGTCATGTGGGTTGTCTCATGAGATTAGTCGAGAGGTGCCGAGACAATTCAAGACACTCACGGATATCAGGAAAAAAAGAAATAATAAAAAGAAACAAGAGATGACTCCAATTTTGCAGTTCTAGCAGTCATTGTTGCATCCTTCCTCCGTTTTACCGGAAAACATTCCCAACTGTACACTTTCGAACTTTTGAGTACTATTATTCTCAACGAACTATTCATAATGGTGTATGTCAATCTCAATGTGAGATTCCACATCGATAAGAGAGGGGAACAACATCGATTGGAGTGGGGAATGAGTGCCAGTTAGGACGCTAGGCCCCGAAGGGGGAGTGGATTGTAAGATCCCACATCGGTTGGAGAGGGAACGAAATATTATTTATAAGGGTGTGGAAACCTCTCCCTAGCATTGTGGGGAGACCCGAGAGGAAAAACCCAAAGAAACAATATCTGCTACCGGTGGGCTTGGGCTGTTACACTCCGTCCATGTTATTCCAAGAGATTCTAATGAAATGCTGAGAGGATGAAGTGAACAACTATGCATTTTATGAGTTATGATTTCAAAACAAACTTCGATTACAATTTAAACTTGCATCTAAATTTTCTTTCAGAAAAATGGAGGCGCCAAAATATCCTTTTCAACTGTAGATAGGGTCATAACCTTTTGTGACAACCATGGGTGCTTGACAAGGGTTCATGAATGAATAGTACCATCTAAATGAGAAGTAAACTGCAGGCTGAAACGATAACTAGGGAAAGTACATCACATCACAAATCTCTAATTCTATTTGAGCAATGGTCTTCCTTTTGTTATGAAATGAGAGAAAGATCATGTTGGACGAGAAAGCAATTCTACCAGCATTGATCTTGTACGAGATTCATAACTCGAAAAATTTGAAAGCATGCAGTAGATTTTAGGCATATTTCCTGATATTATTTTTAGCAGAGTTCAAATGGTTTACAACAAATTGAGATCTTGAAATACCTTATTTCGCACATTGTGCCCAATTGATAGTGGACCTTGCTAATGCGTCCATTGGGTCAATGCATTTCTTAAGAAGGGGATCATCAAGGGGCAAGAGATCCTTTATATCATCAGAGGCAAGGATGACAGAATTGACAGCCCTCACCAGAAGAACTTGAAGAGCAATTCGTAGTAAATTCCTTGCCCCTTCAATGTCCTTTCTGTTTAGAGCCTCAATTGCAGGAATTACAGTATGTTCCATAGTTGCTTTGTCTGGAAGAACCACCTCAAATCCCTGCATATATACACAAGTATTGTTCCGTTACGGTTAAAAATCGCTCGAAGACAGGAATAAGAGCTTCAAGATTCAGGAAGTTCAAAAACAATGAAGAGATGCCTACTTCATTCTGCAGTTTCTCCTGATAATACCCTGCACTTAAAATTGCATTGGTTGCAAGAACACCAATCCGTAATGGGCTCCCAGCTTCAAGTGGCTTCAACTTAGCTTCCCTGAGCTCTCTAGCAACACAATCAGCCATATGAAGGAAGGTAACAGGACACCCTTTTGAAACATCTTCATACCATAAATGAGAGATGTGACAAGGCATAACGATGCAACGAGCACCCGACTTCTCGAGAAAATCTCTTTTACTCTTCAAACTCTCTACTAACGGTCCAGAATCCAACCCTAGATCCTCACTCTTGTAGTTGAGAACTTGGTGAGAACTTTTATCAAACACTTGAAGCTCATTACCAAGAGTTGGGTCAGAGCAAAGAACAAAAGGAAGACCAGATTCTCCATCTTTGGTACTCCATTTAACTAATTTTCCCAAGAAGTTTACAGTAGAATTAACAGAAGATCCTCCTAATATACCCACTGTATTTGATTGACTTAGCAAAATACCAGTTGAATCTTTACTCGTTTTCAATACTGATTTGAACCCAGAACCCTTTTTAGATTCTGGACGATATTCACTTTCATCAGTGTGCAAAAGAGTTGATGGTGGTGGTATAGCCTGAACAGGATTCAGCCTCCATCGAAGCTGAATTCTACGAGTCTTTACATAAGCAGATAGACAAGATTGAGTACTTAAAAGCTGGAAAGACATTGTCATTCCTCAAAATCATCTGGGTTTCAACAATGAGAAACCCAGTCAACAATTTCCCATCACAGGAACAAAAAATTCATTATTGGGTCGATTGAATAATGAAATTACCTGCAATATCATCAAACAAAACAAGGGGAAAACCCATCTCCGACATTCAAAATGGAGGATCACGCCCTAAAACAAAACCCCATCCTGTTTCTCTCAACAATCAAAGTAAAGAAGAAGAAAGATCAAGAACAGCAGTGGTAAGAAAAAGAGGAAATTCAAAGAATATCCTTGATTTGAGGATATTTGGGAGAAGAAATCATTCAGAAGAGGAGGAAGTGGAAGTGGGAGGAATCTTTGTTCTCACCAGAACAGCATCAATTTCGCATAAATTTAGTCAATTGGTCCACTTCTACAACCTACTCTCGTGCTTCCAGACAGTATTTATTCGAATTTTGTTGAAGATCTCTGTAGATCGGCCACTTTTTTCCACCGGGAAAGAGATGATAAAAGGAACGTGGATCAGGTTTTTGGTGGGTGATCTTAAACCCATAATTTTCAAAACAAAAACATTTTATTTGTATTTTGGAATTTCAGTTTTGCTAAATAGTTTGAACCTTTAAACATGAACTTCAATTTAAACAAAATAATATCATAAAAATCAACTAAATATTAAGGTGAATTTCTACTCTTTTAAATATTATAATTAATTTATGAATATAAATTTTGTACAATTATTAATTTTCATTTCATGTGATTTATATATCATCGTACACAATATTTATCAATTTTTTTTAATGTTTTTTAATGTAATTATGCAATTTAAAATTTAAAATAAAAATATACTAACACTTGAAAATGTCTAATTAAAAATAAATCTGTCAAAATTAATATTTACCTAAATCTAATTGATTTATTGAACCTAAAATGTAAAGTAGAATTCAAATGGACATATCAAACTGCCTTTAAATTCTTTCTATTTAAAAAAAAGTCGATTAATACAATTTGATATATATGTCGATGCTTTTAGTATCAATTTAGTTTTGGACTTTAATATATGGATCCAAGTTTTGATATATATATAGATAGATCGAATTAGTACCACCTATCATCCTCAGATCAACGAAGAGACCGAAATTTTACATAGAAAAATTGAAACCATCTTGAAAAGTTCACAAAATTTGAGACTCCTATATGGGTTTCTTTACCTGTTGGTTTTTGTCAAAGCACGTAAGGTACTAGTAGAAATCGAGCATAGAGCATAATTCATTGAAAAGTGCACAAAATTTGATGCAAATTACACATCCAAGTGAGTTTTTGAGGCTATGAGCAACCCATTACATTTTTTTTTTTTGCAAACTTAGTATGATCGTTCTGCTCGGAAGGAGAAAAAGTAAAAATTCTGTCGTGGATGGTTTCTCTCGATTTCTATCAAGGAAGAGGACCAACATCCTCTTAATTAAAAACCAATGGAGTTGTGTTCAGATCTACTAGATTCACTGCATTCGAAACACGCCCACCATTGCACTTTGCAGCTTAAAAGACAAAAGCATGCTAACAAATCAAGTTCTGTACAGAGCTGGAGATAAGTTCTTGAATTTTAGGGAAAATTACAAATCACAGCTAGAATATACGGACAAACCTTTTTAGCCAACCTGCAAAAGAATCCTATGCAAATTCAAAAAATAAAATATATATTACATCCTTTCTCTTCGGGAGATAAGAATACAAAAGGATAATAATAAAAGGAAATCAGCTCTAAAAGTAAATTCAGTCAAACAAGCCTTTAAGTGGCGACTATAGAATAATAATACCAATCAACAGACCGAAACATTGACAAGAGAAAGATAATCGACGGATAATCACACATCAACATCAAAACTTGTCGTGGTTTCGTGCTAATTTGGTTCTCATCTATTATCAAAAAGACATATCATGTGAGATCCCACCTCGGTTGAAGAAGGGAACAAAACATTCTTTATAAGGGCGTGAAATCCTCTCTCTAGCAGATACGTTTTAAAAATCTTGAAAGGAAGCCCGACAGAAAAAACTCAAAAATGATAATATCTACTTGCGGTGGGCTTGGGCCGTTACATATCATTTAGATACGATAAGAACAGCCTAGACTAACTGATAAAGATGAGTTAGGCAGTGACTGTATTGACATGTAAAGAATCAAAAGAAACGAGAAGTAAACTACTCAAAAGGTATGAGGTGGGGCCTGGTTTTGAAGTATTGAAGAAGAAGGTAGCAGAGATATTTTGAGGATGTGCCTATCAAAGACATCCATTTGCCCTTTGGGCTCTGCCAAGGACCAAACTTCTCTAATTTATGCATCAAAAAGCAATCAAATACTTGAGCCAGCAAAGAAACATGTAAACAAATGAGATTCCCATGTGGGTCAGACCATACAGATCATAGTTCATATGGCCACACATTCCAACGCACATACATCATTTCAATAATTCGCCTTGAACGATAGCACTTCAATTATCAGTTGTACTGCATATATACAATTTACTAACCTTTTGATGAAAAAGCTTCACTTTTTCATCAACCATGTGGAGTAGCCTTCCTCTTGATGTTCTTGCCAACATCTTCTCCTTCCTCTCCCCAGACTCCTTGGCACGAGCTAGATCGGCCTGCAGGCATTGGCACGAGTGCGTCGATACTCGCCCCTTGAGCACCAAGCCAATTCTATCGCAGTATCATCCTTCATGGTTCATCGCCTTGCCTTTGCGAGCACACAAGCTATGTTTTGCTCACAATCCAATTTTTGACAATTGGCATAAGCTCTCACTGGAATTTCTTCCTGATTTAGTCAAACCAATTTCCCCAGTTGGTAATCTTCTGCTTTTAAGATCCGTAAGTTCTGTTGTTCTACAATTGATCATATGCAATCCATTCACTAGTCAATTCCGGTATCTTCCAAGGCCGAACATCACTAGGAGTAATCCGGCTGTGGGGGTTGTAATACAAAACACAAGCCAAGATTCTCAGTTTCCAGAATTCGAAGTCTATGTAGCAGGTGGGATGTCAGAGGCACCACAAGGTGGCACCACATATGAATCAAAGTTGGAAATATATGATTCAAGAAGCGACTCATGGAAAATTGTAGGATCACTGCCAGTGGAATTTTCCGTGAGGCTAACAGTCTGGACTCATAATGAGAGTGTCTACTCTAATGGGGTTTTGTATTGGATAACCTCTGCAAGGGCATTCAGGGTGATGGGGTTTGAGATTAACTCAAACATTTGCAGGGAATTGCAGGTGCCAATGGCTGACCGACTTGAATTTGCCGCACTTACAAGCCGAAATGGAAGGCTAGCACTAGTTGGTGCCATATGCGGTGAAAACGCCTGTGTTTGGGAGCTTGGAGATAGAGATATGTGGGCAGTGGTTGAGAAGGTGCCAAATGACTTGGGAATAAAACTTCTAGGAGGAAGCAATGGGAGATGGATAAACACCAAGTGCGTAGGCAACAATGAGGTTATGTGCTTGTATAAGGAGCTCGGAAGTGGAATGGTAATTTGGAGAGAAAGAAAAGAGAAGAACAAATGGGAATGGAATTGGATCAATGGATGTTCTTCAATTAGAAGCAAAAGAGTTGATAACTTGCCAATAAAAGGACTGCTTCTTCAACCAAGCCTTGCTCCTTTTGCATCTTACTCAAATTGAATGTGAGTTTTTCAATCCTAACAATAAGAACAGCATAACTACTTTGATTATCATGTACGAAATGATGGACCAACTTCCATTAATGAACGAATAAAGGGTCAATTACAGTTCGCCTACAATATCATAGAAGTAAGAGTTCCTGAAAGGATGGATATCTAATTTGAAAGCATTATGATAGAATCAGAGTACAATTTGGAGCTATATCATCAGGAATGGCCCATGAGGAGAAGGTCAGAATCCACAGAAATTGAAGAAATTGATGTTGTAAAAATGGCCAAATCACCAACCAATCTATTATACAACACAATATCATGTCAAGTATGTATACCTTTTTATTCTAAATAAGTAGAATCAGTCAATAACTTTCTCACGAACTGGAATGGCTTGTGAAGAGCTCTGAAAGAAACATTTTCAGAAGACCAAAAAGCAACTATGTTCGGTATTGTACACAGAACCATCCTAGCAATAATTTCTTCAAAACACTTCAAAAATTTTCAGCAGCATCTAGAACTGTCACCAAGAATATGAAGTTACAAATGGAACCTATCCTCATAATTTATTACAAGGCCATGCCACCATAGTCAATTGCCATAAGAAAAAAAAAAAAAAAAAACTTAGGGTTCAATCTCAGATGAAGGTAAGGCATGTTATCCAGCGCGGAAAATGCCAAAGGAAGCATTATTTTAACAGCATCTGAGTGGAGGGGGAAGAGCACAGAATCGAAAGATTATTATACCTCAAATTTCGAAATATGCATAAATCATTCAAACAAAACCTCTACAACGGCGAACATAACAAAAGTGATTGCAATAATCTATTAAATATGATCGGTTTTTTCCAAGGGAAGAGAATCCTAGGAGAACAAATCGGCGCAGATTAAGAAAATTCGGCGAGAATTAAAAATTAAAATCAGGGGAACTTAAATAATGGCCTGCGGGAGAGAGAGAATTCAGAGATTAAGCAGAAGAAAGAGGCAATTAGAGTGAAAAAGGACAAACTGAGTAGCTACCAAATTACAAGATCCAATTGCTATGAGTTGCAATGAATCCAGTGCCCTTCTCGTCTCTGCTTAATGGCGCCTTTTGTCTTCAAGAATCCTAAATGATATCTCATGATGAATCTTTTAAACTTTAAATTTTGTATTTAATAGATTCTTAAATTCTAAAAAAAAAAAATTCTAACCGATTTCTAACACATTCAACATTAGAAAAATTTCTAATAGGCGACATATTAGTATATTTAGCTTGACAAATCAAGCTTAGAGGATATGAATACAAATTCGCTTAGTAGGTCCATATGCATGTGCGTAGGTCATGCTATGTTTTAAAGTATAAGTCTCATCATGTATGTTTGCATTACCCAACTCTAACATTAGGTTACTTCCTGAGTATTGCTTAAAATACTCAAATCATATGCTACTTTTACATCTCAAATAAAAATACAACACCCTGTACGGATGACCGAGGCGACGCATGAAGACCATAGAACCGGTGGTAAGGAGTTGCATTTCATATTAAATGTGTTGTTTTCTACACGTTAGACATATTGTTTATTTTGTTTCTTATATATTTTTGAATTGATTTAGTACTTTTATTTTTAACATGTAAATCCACAATATTATTTATGAACTATTTAAAATCAATGTCTCCGCATAAAAATGTCATGTCATGTTTATGGTGAGCGACTCTATATCCGTTGGTATCAAAGCTAGTCATTGGGTAAGATGCTGGGTCCTTAAAAGGAGTGCAATATTGTTTATGAACTATTTAAAATCAATGTCTCCGCATAAAAATGTCATGTCATGTTTATGGTGAGCGACTCTATATCCGTTGGTATCAAAGCTAGTCATTGGGTAAGATGCTGGGTCCTTAAAAGGAGT